GGCGGTCGGAGCCGCCACCGACGGTGACCGTGCAATCTTCTTTGGCCTTCCTCTTGGCCTGCCACTTCCAGGGGTGGCCTTAGACTTAGGGGTCTTAGGAGGGGCATTAGGGTCCTTTGGTGGACGACCCCTTGGCCTTGGAGGGGACAGGACAGTGCCAGGTGGCAGAGGAACCTTTGGCTTAGGTGGCCTTCCACGACCCCTCTTTGGTGGGGCACTTGGATCAGCCTTCATGTAGTTGTTTTTCACAAACACTAGCTCTCCACTCTCTTTCATCTTGTTAAGCTGATTACCCAAAAGAGTTGAGTCTGGTAACTCACCATAGGTCGATTCTATGTGCTTTGATATTGCCGATTTGCTCGATCCGGTTGGTTCATTCAGTGCTTCAAGGGCCTTGAATATCAGCTACAACAAAAACAACACTATCAGCATCAGCACCACCAGAGCTAACAAATCTTAAGCCTTTCCAAAAATGGAGTCTTTATTCAGCAACAAAGCTCAAACCCACAACTCATGTGGGTTTGTGAGAAAACAAAGTACTAGTTAGTAAAAAAACAAAAACACCCTTTTGGTATGTTTGAATTACTCAAAACCCCTAATTTTCCCTCTTTCGTTTCCCAAAATGCTAAAAATTTAAGCTGAGTGAAGAAAACAAGAAACCCAAGTCAGTAAAAATGTACAGATCAAATAGATCAATGTGAAATCTAGCAACTTTAGCAGGGAAATTTTTCCAAGATTTAGTTTTGGAGAAAAGGGTTAAAAAAAAAGGGACGTTGATTTTGATGTGAATTACCTCAGGGTATGGAGGAAGTGATTGAGGTTTATTAACCTCTTCGGTGGCCATTGAAGTTGCAGAGGTGAAGAAATTCCAAAACTTGCACAGTAGCCTCAACCCACCCACTCAAAAAAATGCAGACTTTAAAAGAAGGTGATACAATTTTTTTCTAGGGAAAGTGAAGCGTATGATATGGATGACTCTTACAAAGATCTGAGGATTGAATTTAAAGGAAGATAAATAAATTAAAAATTGGAAAGAAAATTAATTAAAAAGAATAAAGAGAAAAACTCCATGCCTCTTTTACAACTCTCCTTTATTCATCCTCACGGCATATGAACGGCCAGGAATCGCCCAAAAGATGATGATCGCACGGCTCAGGATCTATTTGAGGAAGGTCACTCGGATCGGTGACGTGGCAGGAATGTGCTTGTTCGCAGAAATTTTTGAAGGTACGCTGTTGTCTGTTGCGTGCTTGCTCTTTCGGATGAGGTTTTCGGATCGAGACTATCCCATTTTTTAACTTTATTGTATCATTTTTTTATTTTCTCATTTAATTTTTGCAGAAAAAAATAAAATTATACCAAACATTCACTTTATTTTATTTTTTTCTATTCACGTAATTCGTATAATATCTCAAAATTATTAATAAAAATTAATATGTATTTATGAATTTTCTGATTAAATATTATTAAATTAATCTTTATATTTTAAGATAGATTTTATAATACTTTTATTTTTAAGGTGAATTAAGAAACGTATTATACATTCACTTCACTTTGTAAATTTAAAAGGTGTTAAGTGATGTTAATCTCTCAAATTATAAAATCAATTCAATCAATTCATTTGATTTTTTTTACACAAAATGGTAGAACGTGTAGCGTCAATTAGTTTAATCATTAATGATACGGTGAATAGTTAAATTTGTAGATATGTAATTTAACAATCAATTAGTTTAATTATGGTAATAACATAACATTAATATAATTTAAAAATTAAATAATAATAATAATAATAATAATAACAAATAGTTAAATTTAATGATTTATTTAATATTTTTAAAATTTTTAAGACTAATATGATATATTTTTAAATTTGAAAATAAAAGGAATATTTATTTACTGAAATTCTATCAGATTTTTTATAATACTTATTTTTTAACAGTTATTATTTTTAATTTAATAGTTTCTTCATTTTTATTAACAATTAAACATACATTTTTTATAACGTACAATTTTTAAGTGACATGATTGTTTTGTGATCACCAAAGAAAAATTAAAACTGTACTCGTAATTTTTGTTTGAATTTTGAACATTGAAATCTTTATTAATTTTAATTATTTCTTCAATATAAAAAAAATCGACGTCGTTGTAAATTCGATATTTTTAACGTAAATCAATTGCCTTGAATAAACATTACTTAGCCGTAATATAAAATATCTTACTCAGACAAATAGATATAATTAAGTATTAATAATCAATAAATATTTTGTAATATGTTTATATATTTATACTTCTATACTATTAGGAATGACAATGGGTGAAATTGTGATTATTTTGTGTGGATATATATTATCAAAGAAAAATGTTTTATTTTATGCTAAAATCATTCAGCCAAATAAATTTACCGGACAAATTTAAAATTTATTCACCTTGGGATAAGAAACTTGTTCAACCTAATTATGTTCGATTTGGATTTTGAAATTTATTGTCTTAATTTGGTTGGACAATAAAAATTTGATGTGACCAATTTTTCACCATTTTTTTCTTCCTCTTATTTGCCTTCAAAATGTGTTTCGTTGTATTTTTCTTTCAAGTCTTTGACTTTTTCACTTGATTTGAGTTGCATTGACACAAAAAAATATAATTATGATTAATTAGTAAAATAGTTATAAATATAATAAATAACTAACTAATTATATTACATATAAAAGTTAACTTGTATTTGATATATAAACCAAAAAAAAAAAACTAGGAATACAAGTTAGATGTCTTCTTTTTAAATAACTGATTCAAGTAAATTTGATATCTAAAAGAATTATAATGAACTTTTGTTTTTCAAACTTTTTATATTCTTTTATATGTGAACATGTAAAACTTTATTTATTTAAGTGATCAAGATGACTCACTTAAGCGAGCTTTAAAGTTTAATGTAGAGACTCCTATCACCTCTTGCATAAGCAAGAAGTGACTCGCTTTAAAGTGAGTCTTCCTCTAATTGCTCCTATAATTTCTAACTTAACTCGTTTAAGTAAGTCTTTAATATAATGTTTAGGAATCTATTTGTGAGCCCTTGATTAAGTGATCATAGTAGTTTTATGTGCGAGGGCACCCAAAAACACATCTATTCAACTCCTTAAATATCATGATTATTTTCATCCAACCTTCTCCTCTCATGTTCTACTGGTATCTATAATGCTAAAAAAAAATTTAAAATATATTTAATAATGAAATTAAATATGTCTAAAATTACTTATTTTAACTTTTATTGATTGTTCTAGGTAAAACATGATTTAGAAGCATAGGACATGCTCAGTAATTTTCTAATGTAACTCAAAAATATATACACATTTGACAATTATTAGAGTAGACCTTCACTTTGACATCTCCTCTTAGTATGAGTCATATATCAATGAAAATCCTCAACAAGTGGTGGTCATTGGCAAAGCACACTAGTTACAGTTTATAAAACACCACCATCCCTTCCAAGATGATATGGTAAGGGCGATGGTGGAAGAGATTGAGATGTAGATGCTCAAGCTATAGCACACACTACGAAGGTTTAGATAGTGGGACTAGCCACTCAGCATTTCATTCAATGGATTAGTGAAGGTTGTTTCACCAAAGTATATTTTGAACTTTAGTTTTTTTTTTCCTAATTGACATTTTTCATAACTTAATATACTACATGGTTTTTATCTCTATCGTTTAGAATATTATGGGGCCAAAGAAACATGTTCAACAATCATCACTACAAGAAATATTATATATAATGACATATAAAAAGTGTTACTATAGATATAATATATATAGATATAAATCTATTTAACATATATTCACACATAATTTTAATATTAATTTTTAATGAAATTCAACAACATATATTATGTATCATTATAACCTATACCTACAATTTATAACAATTATGATAATATGTTTACTAACATATATTGTAGGTAAAAAAAAAAAATTTAATGACAAGTATTAAGTCACTACAGGGTGTGTCTTACTACAAGACAATTTTTTTGGTAGTGCATAGAAGGAGAATCCCATAGTTGATCAAACAAAAGACTTGAATTTGGTTGACCAACTGTGATTATGGTTATGACATGTAGAGATAAGCATACATAGGTAGTGCGGGATCCTACTGTTTTTGGCAGACTTGATACAATGTCTTTATATATACTTATTTGCTTTTCCTAAGCACAAACATGTAAAATTATTCACCATTAAGCATTATTGTGTTATCCAACACAACCATGCTCCATGTCTTCATCTAAGTAAGCTCGTGTTCAATTTTAACACAACTATGCATAATTTAAGCACAATCATTTTCTCCTTTTAACATAGTTATGTTTCCCTTAAGCACGACAACGTTCTTAGAAATAATTACAAATTGTGTAAACTCATGGCACGACTATAAACTTTTAATTCTTTATAATTAGCATGAATTACACTAAATTTATACATCCTATATCAGTTAATTATATATAACACATTATATAGTTCAATTCATAAAAAAATACCAAACCTACAGTTTTATCCATATGAACCCTAACATTACACAAATAGATAGGAACTCTAATTCAAACAATTCCTCATATCAATTCGGTCAAGATACAAAACACAAAAGTATATTTTAGTCCAACACCCTGTTAGGGTATTCATAACCCCTCTAATCACACACAATCAGTGTACACATGGTAGATAATTTCTCATTCCTTTCACCTTAATAATATGAAGAGGTGTAGCTCACTGATTCAAGATTGTTTCCTCTAACGCCTCTAATATCTCAAGTGTTGCTAAGCAATTATGGCAAAAACACAAGTTGTTAGCAGTGAATAAATATTATCTCCTAAGGAACTTGTGTAATACACGACAATAGATATAATTAATAATTAATTTAGATAAAAGAATATTCCATAAATTGATGTTGATTTGTAAAAGAAATAAAAACTATGCAAAAGAAAGATAAAGTTCTTTTTGGTATTTTATCAAATAGTTAGAAGATGGTTTAAATTAGAAATGAAATGATATATTTATTTTGAGAATAGACTTTATCTGACCTCACTCTCATGCATTTAATCACTCAAATCCTCTTTTGCATTTAATGCTAATGTGAACCTACTACTTTACTCAAACCCTAATTCCTTAGAAGAAAGAACCCAAATCCCCTTATTAAGCATCAATCCCTTAAATACTTAATGAAAAGGTTTTAAGAAAACTAATGGGTTAAGTTGTATTCCTAGATACAAACTCCATTAGGTGTCTTGTTCCAATTATAGATCACAAAAGATTTGTTTCAATACCTAATTAATTAATCAAATATCAAATTATGGTTGATCACTCTACAACAAGCATTAAGAGTAGAAATAAAATACTAACATTGAAATGCACACACACACAGATATATGTGTGTGTATGTGTGTGTATGTGTGTGTGTATATATATATATAT